GCCACCCCCCTCCTTGGGCTAGGGGAGAACGCAGGCGGCCGGGCTCCTGGAGACCCCCTGAGCTGGAAGAGAAAAGCTCCCCCCACCTTCCTGTGCTGGGGAAGAACCCAGGTGTCAGCCCCCACTGTTGAAGGACCCCCCACCATGTGGAGGGGAGGGTTAACCCCTGCCTGCCCACCCCCAGTGCAATAGCGCCCCCACCTCCCGCGCTTGTGTCTCCATACCCTACCCCTGCGTGTCCGTGACATCACTGCTCGCGCCCCCCACCAGGTCTGTACATAGCAGGTACCGGTGTGTCCCCTCCGTGACACCCCCCCGCCCCCGGGGCCGCAGCAATAAGGACTGACCGGAGCCGCCGGTGCCAATAAAGCCCCGGGCCGGGCCGGAGCCTTGTGTGACCGCGATTGCTTGTGTCTGGGCCCTGGTGGGAGGGAACCCAGGTGTCCGAGTGTGGCCCAGGACCCCCCAAACAGGGAAGGAGTCCAGATGGCTGAGAGGCATTGAACGCAGATGTCCGAGGCCAAGGGGAAGAGAATCCAGGTGTCCTAGCCTCCCCCCTCAACACCAGGGGAAAACCTAGGCATCCGAGTGTAGCCCACGCCCCCTGAAGCAGGGAGAGAACCCAGGCGTCTGAGGCAGCCAGAGGGACCCAGGCATTGGGAAAGCAGGACTTTATTGGCAGCAAGATCTCCCCCCCACCCCCCCATAAAAACTCCATTAAAACCTCTGATATATATATATAAAAAGTCTCCAGCAAAAGGCTGACCCCCATGGCCCCGATCCAGATGCAGAGCTGGGGGGAACTGAGGGGTATCGGCTCCAGGGGCCTAAGAGAGAGGAGAGGAGAGGAAAGGGTCAAGCCCCACCTTGCCCCCAGCCTGGCCCCCCCCAGAGCCCTCCCCATCCCCCATACCTGCAGGGCCCTCACGTGAAGCCGGGTGCGGGGGGGCCGCACTTGGCCAGAGCCCCCTGGAGCAGCCAGAACTCTTCCTCCAAGTTCTGTGGCAAGGAAGGGGTTAAGGGTGCCCGGAAAGGGCCCAGGGCCTGCCCAGGGGAGAACCCAGGTCTCCCAGCCCCACCCCCCAAAAACCCAGGCATCTGAGCCCCACCAGAGGGAAGAACCCAGGTGTTTGGGGCCCCTGCCTGAGTACCCAGGTGTCCAAACCCCCCACCCCCGGGGAGAACCCAAGCGTCCAAAGGTCTGCCCCGCAGACCCCAGGCGCCTGAGCCCCCACCCAGGAAAAACCAGGTGGCAGGCAGCTTACCCTGAGCGCATGCAGCGTGAGCTCCAGGGGCTGCAGCTCGTCCCGGGCCAGCGCAGCCAGGCGGGAGGGCAGCGGTGGGGGGGTGCCACGGCCCCCCCGGGCCGGAGGCCGGGGGCCATTCAGGGACCCCCCTGCCAGGGAGACAGGATCAGGATGGGTGCTTCCAGCCCCCTATCCCTGCATCCCACAGTGGCTCTGTCCCGTTTCCCCAACGTATCCCACGATGCCCGTCCCACAATGCCTTTCCCACCCCAAAAGGCCGATCCCACAATGCCCCATCCTACCCCCTAGT